CCGGGCTGGGGGCTAGCTCTCTCAGTAAACTCACCTTCTCTCCCTGGAGGGACGGGACGGAGTCCCGCAGACTGTGGAAGCTGTCTTTGATGTGGTCCCTGCGCTTGCGCTCCAGCGCGTTGTGGTGCGCCCTCTTGTCAGCCTGCAAGAAAAGGACAGAGAGACGGGGCGTTAGGGACCTTCGGCCTGGCCCAGCGGGGAGGGCGCCGGCAGCACCGGGATGGCGCTGCGCTCGGGGGACAGCGGTCCCTGCTGGATGCAAAGAAAGGAAGGGAGGAACAAGAGCAGCGGCGGCAGCGGCCAAGGTAGCTGGAGTCAGGCGTGCAGAGGAAGAGCTGTCATCCAGGCAGGAAGAGGCCCCGCCCCCATGCTCAGGCCGGCCCCGCCCCCATGCTCACAACCAACCAGGATCGTTCGGCGACTGAAGCTAACGGCCAGTGACGATCACACACCTAGGTGGCATCTCCTGGGTGCCCACGGAGACGTCGGCCCCAGCAACAGGTCCCTCCTGGACACGGCGCTTCAGCACCAGATACCCGAGGGGCCAAGGGGGGAGAATCAGACTCAGCTGGGAGCCTCCGGGGCCGGACAGAGTCCCATTCTGTCCTCCCACCTCTGCCTACGCTGGTGGGGCTGCGGGAGGCTCTAGGACCACCCAGCTTCCTCCTCCGTCACCTCAAAGCCCAGCCACTCCTCACAACAGGCATCGCCGTGCCCCCGAAATTCCAGGGCCAGATGGCACCGTGAGATCATCGCGTCTGGCCTCTGAATGGGATGCCAGGTGCCATGCCGGCATGGGCACCGGTTTCCCTCAGAACCCATTTCTCTGGCAGCCTCGGGTGCCCACAGGTTCCGGTCACCTTCCTGTGCTGGCTAACTCAGCTACAGGATCGACAGCCGGCGGAACGTGCTGCCAACACTTCAACGCTGGCTTGGGGGAGGTAGTTCCTGGAGGCGAGCTGGCACGGGCGGGTGCAAGGAGACAAGTAGGCAGTATTCTTACCAGGCCCAAATGCCACGCGGCTGCTGCAGCCCAGGCAGCCTACCCGTTCACTGGCATGACTGCGCCAGGGCCCCAGCTGCCAGGGGTTACACAGCGTGCCCGAACCTACAGGCCGGGCAATGCCATCGCCGCTCCAGCTGTGCGCCGGATCCACTTAGCAAAGAGCTGAGCTCTCAGGCCTGGGGCCTGAAAACCACATTCCCTCCCCTCCTCCCAGCACAGGCAGGCAGACACCCTGTCATCAGCTCCCCAGGGGACCAGCAACCGGCCAGCTTCTGCTCTTCGCAAGGCCTCTGTCTAGCGCTGCCAGCTCCGTGCCAGCTGTTCGCGGAGGAGGCGCAGTGCCACACCTACCCTAGGCTCTTACTGCGGGCAGGGGAAACGCAAGTGCTAGCTGCCCCCTAGTCATCCAGCACCAGGGGGTTCAGTACAGCCACGCGCACTCTGACTTACAAGGAGTCGGCCCCAACAGCAGCCTGTCAGGAATGGAGGCCCTGCTATTCCCGGGGCCAGGCCTGGCCTACCCCTTAGCCATCCGCAAAGAGCCGCTTTGGAGAGCCAGGCTGAACTGGTCCCTCGACTGGCGTGCAGGGGGGGAGAGGAGGGGTGCTCCCGCCAAGCTGGGCTATTTGTATGCATATCACTTCCCCCAGCCTCTCTGGTGCTGGCCAGCAGCGGCAGCCCACGATAAGTCAAATGAAGTCGTCCTGGGCTCCCCCACTCCCCGGGCACTCGCCCAGCTCAGCCCCTCCCAGCCCTGGCAGCAGCACAAAGGGGCAACTGTGCCGGGAGCTTCTCCGCAACCAAAGCGGAGCCTCTGTCCAGGGCCTGGGTGAACACCGCCAGTCCTGGGAGCCGGGGCCTTACAAAGGCAGAGCCGGGAGAGCTAAGCAGGCACAAAGCCGCCGGCAGCAGCTGCCGTGCACTCAGTCTCAGCGGCCGAGCAGCACCGGGAGTGAATGGCTGGCGAAGAATACGGCCATTGACCAGTCAGCAGCAGCGTTGGTTTCCCATGTGGCTTGGTTCCCAGCCAGCCCTGGAAGCTGGCTTGACGACGCAGGCAGCGGTTGTGGCTGGTGGGTGCAGACCCAGAGCTAGACGGCTGCTGTGCTTGCAGCAGGGAAGCTTGCTGGGACGGGGGTATCAGCAGAACAAAAATCCCCCCCATACAAGGGCTGCCCCCTGCAGCAACTGAGACATGGGGATGGCCCAGCCCTGGACAATTGCAGCGTGGGGGCAGCGAGCCCTAAGCCCAGACAAGGGCGAAGTGAAAGCAACATCGGGCTCTCCCACGACCTGCTGATGGAGCGGATGCAAGACTGGCTCTTATCCGTCCAGCTCCACTTGGCACAAGCCGTGCCTGGTGCCAAGCGAGGCCCGCGTGACAACACTGCCCCATTCATCAGCCAGCATGGCCTGCTGCCACGTGACTCTCTGTTAGTGCTTCCAAGCGCCCTTCCCGGGCTGGCAGGTGCTGCAGAGGGTCTCAGCTTCGGCCAGCCCTGCGGTGCCTTGGTGGGGACTGCCAGCACCCACACAGCCGGGCCTCGGGGCACACGCTCGCGAGAGGAAGGAAAACACCTCGCGCCAACCCGTCAAACCCTGGCTCAGACATATGGCTGAATGGCCCTGGGCTCTGCTCTGCCTTTAAGAGTCACAATCACTGGAAAAGCAGGGCTCTACCTAGACATCCTTGGGCAGCGAGGAGAGCAACTCACGGAACAGCCGGGCTCACGGCCCGCGTGGCACACGCAGCCAGCACCCTGACAGAGAGGGTGGGCAGTGGACGCAGCAGCCTGTGGAATCGTTGCACTGCCCACCTGGTCCCCGCCTGCACATGCCTTCCGCCCCCCCATCGGGAACAGACAGAGCGCTCCAAGCTCCGATCACCCCCACCGGCAGCAGAAGGCCCTGCCCAACACAGCCCAGCATGGGGGAGACGGCCTGAACCCTTAACAGAGGGGAAGAGTAAACCCAGGTCAAGTCATCTAATGACACCTGGTGGGAATAAAAACAAAGCTGCCTCCCTTCCAGGTCACCCGAGGACACGAGCCAGACCAGACACTTAAGTCAACATTCAGGATTAGCCAGCAGTGCAATCGCATTAGCTCAGAACGCCAAGCCGCGGGCCCCCATGCCCTCGAGGAACGGAGCTGCCCACCGGGGACACGCGCCGAGGTGTCTCCTGCTTGCGACACGGAGAAGCTTCCAACTGGGCGCCCTGGAAGCTGCTACTCTGCAAACCGACCAAAGATGTGGGAGAGCAAAACAGAGCCTGCCAGGAGATGCCCTGCACCAGTCTGAGCCGGGCAAGCCAGGGCCTGATCCTGGGCTGTACCCAGTTGGCGCAAATGCCACAAGGCGGCCTTTTAGGGGCTGCTTTTACAGATCTTCCTTGAAATTGTCACTTTCCATAGCCAGCCCCCCACAAACCAGGAACCAAACGGGTGCTGTTAAGGAACAATCCCACGGTGCCTATGACACTAGGCACAGCACATCATGGAGCATTTGTGCCAGGCCAAACAGGAGCAGCTATTTGCGTTAGCAGCTTGAACCTCAATGTATCACGGCTTCCCAGCCCCTCTCCCCGAGTAAGCTGCACTTTCCACAAACAGATCGTTTCGCAAGGCTCAAAAAAACCACACACTCCTCGACAGGAGACCATGCTTCTCCAGCCCAACAACCCTCCACAGGCCAAGCTCGCGCTCACCGGGGTTCTTCCACCAGCTGGCGAGGGAAGACAAAGGGACTTCCAAAGTCATTTGCTCCCAAGACTTATTTAAGGAAGCCTTTATCTGAAAAAGCAGCCGCCCCACACTTCTCCCCCTAGCAACTCACAGCAAGTTGTCCGGAGCCAACACTGAGTTTAGAGGCATTTGGAAGCTACAAGTTGAAAACTGGCCTCCAAGCGGTAAAACCTAATTTACTCTTGGCATGTTTGCTTACTGTGGAGCATTTCCCTCTAGCTGGACAGCGCAAACAGGCAGAAAGTTTCCCGGCCTGCTTCTCCCACCCTAGCAGGAGGCGAGCGGGTTAAGGGTACAACCGCGGCAGAGAAGAGTTTTCACTGCAGTTCGGAGAGATTCATAAACATGGCCACGCAAATCATGGCTTCAACTTTTAGGCCAACCGGGTAGTACTGTAGCTCTTTCTACACTGCCACCCTCTGGCTGAGACCTGAAATCCTTCCTGCCGCTTAAAAAAAGCAAGAACCACTTCCGTCTGAGCCATGTTTACTTACAGTTGTTACCAGAAACACCTAAGATCATGGAAACTGAAAGGCTGGAGGAAAGTGTCCTGGACTTTCAGTTTCTTTTCTTCGGGCGTTTGACAGCTGCTTGCTCCGTTCGTTCGTGTGGTTCTTTCGCACAGCAAGAGGGGTGAGAAATATTTTTTTAAAACAGGAAAATCTGGATGTGAAACCATCTCCATCAGCAAGGGCCTTCCAGGCCAAACACAGCTAGAAGTTGCCTTGATTTGGTGGGGTGGCCCTTTCTCTCCCGAAGAGGGGAGCACACAAACCTAGGATTTCGAGCAGTGAGCAAGATTCAGTTTGATAATCCAGGAGTCAACAGAGATATATGGCCCAACGCCAGTCTAAGAAGGTCCTTTTACACAGCCTTGGTATGTGGTTCACCCACATGCACCATTCCCCAAAGGATTCAGGGAGCAACCGATGTATTGCAATCTTACTGGTCTAGGCAAGGCCTGGTACAGGGACAAATATCCATTGCGGGACACGAGAACAATATGGGATCTCGAACTATAAAATACCGGCACGTGGCACCATCTAGTCAGACAACGAATTTCAAGACAAACCAAGGAATGGGACGGAAACCCCTTGGCACTGCTGATGCTCCGCTAACCCGAAAGGCGACTGAAGGCAACTGCTAGCTGGTGATCAGGGACCCACTTGGTTTAGTAACCTGACAACCCGAGCTAAATCCCCTCTATCTGCCTCTTGCAATCCAGATTTTACAGACTAGATACCGCTGGGAACCTGACTGGAAAAAGGCTGCTGCTCCATGCAGAGGTGGCACCGCAGACAGCGACGCAGCTGCGGAGGCTAAGGGCCACCCCAGCCAAACGCGCAGGGATTTTTCAAAGAGCCAGCCAGGACCCCCAAGACAGTGCGTTGTGTTTTCAGTGTCACCCATTCACATTAACCACCCCAAAGAAGACAACTTCCCACTCGGTACTCATTCAATCCTCTGGAGGCAGTGCGGGGGGGGGGGGGGGAAACCTGTACCACAACCCCACCTCAGCTGGACTCAACCATTAACACAGACCGACTCCCTACAAGCAGTCACTTCCAAACAAGACAAATGCCTTATGGGATGTCACAGAACCACAGCAGTTACACCTTCAATCCCTGACCCAAGCTCTGGGCAGGCTGCAATGTCCCCAGCTGTCCCCCCACCAAGGAAGGGTGGACCCCAAAACGGGTTCTCTCCCCTGTGCTCAGAATAACACCACCTGTCAGGCCTGGGATCTCAGCCCAGTAATTCCTTCATGCTCGAAGCTACTCCTCCATAGAGACGGGGGCCCCCTCTCCCAAACCATCACTGCTCGTGGTGTGTATGTCCCCCATCTCCCCCCCACCCCAGCCAGTCTACACTACCCACCCTTCCCATGCATGGCCTAGATCCCCTTGCACCTCCTCACACTCACAGCCTAGAGCACGAACCTACACACAATGAGCCCACATGGCCCAACTCTCCCCCCACACACCCAGCCCACGTCCCCAGCCACACATGCCAGTCCTAGGTCCCCCCTCCAATTCCTCACACCCTGGCCTAGATCCCACACACCCCCAACCTAGAACTTCTCCACATGCACGTGCCTGGCCTAGATCCTCCCCAATTTCCCCCACACACTCAGCCGGCCTAGATCCCCCACATACACGGGAGCAAGCCCAGCTGGCCTAGATCCCTCTCCCACATGCCTGGCTGGCCTAGATCCCTCCTCCTCCACATACATGCCTAGCCTAGATCCTCCCCACTTCCAGCCTACAGCCCCTCGACACCTCGCCCCCCAAACCTGGCCTAGATCCCCTCCACCACCACTGCCATGTCTAGCCACGATCTCCACAGACACACACAGTGTAGATTCTCCTCCAACACACACACACACCTAGCCTTGATCCCACCCCCACCGTACATGCTCAGTCTAGATTCCCCTCCAAATCCTCCTTCACACATGCCCAGCCTAGATTCCCATCCATACACACGCCAACCTAGCATGCCAGGTCTAGATTTTTCTCCACAACCCCCCACTCATGCTTGATCTTGATCCCACCTGGATCTCATACACACTCCCCTGACACATGCCCCATTCTAGGTCCTCCTTCACACCATGCATCTAAATCCCCATCTCACACACTGACCTCCCCCCAAACACACTGGGTCTATATCCTCCTTCCCACCCCATCCTAGATTCCCACTCCACATATGCCTGCTACAGATGCCCCTTCCAGCCACCACTCTACACCTCCCTGATCTAGATCCCCCTTCCCAATCCCATGCCCCACATGCCTGATCTAGATTCCCACCCCACCACAGATGACCCTTCCCAATCCCACTCCACCCCTTGAGCACATGAGCCTGGCTGACCCTTCCCTGACCTAGATCCCAGCCCCAGCTCTCCTATACACACCTCCCAGCCTGGCTCACCTGAGCCTGCGTCGCCCTGCCCTAGATCCCCTATACACACCTCCCAGCCTAGCTCACCTGAGCCTGGCTCGCCCTGCCCAGCCTAGATCCCAGCACCAGCTTCCCTATACACACCTCCCAGCCTGGATCTCTGAGCCTGCGTCGCCCTGCCCTAGATCCCCTATACACACCTCCCAGCCTGGATCTCTGAGCCTGGCTCGCCCTGCCCTAGATCCCAGCCCTAGATCCCAGCCCTAGATCCCCTATACACACCTCCCAGCCTGGATCTCTGAGCCTGCGTCGCCCTGCCCTAGATCCCAGCCCTAGATCCCCTATACACACCTCCCAGCCTGGATCTCTGAGCCTGCGTCGCCCTGCCCCGGCCTGGATCCCAACCCCTGCTAGCTCCCAGTACATGTCCGTCTCGGATCCCATGAACTGAGAGCCAGCTGGGTCGGGTCCCCTAGATCCACTCCCTGCGCACCCGGCCTGCCCCCCCCCCGACCCCCAGCCTAGCGCTCACACCGGCGCGGCCTGGCTGCCCGGGCCGGGCCGTGCCGTGCCGGGCGGGGCGGGGGCGGGCGGTAAGCAAGGAAAGGCAGGCACGTACCGCAGACTGAAACCTCGGCTGCTCTTCCTGCAATAAGAGAGAGATAGAGAAACACACGCGTTACTGTCAGCGCCGCTGCCCGCGCCGAGCCGGGCCGGGCCGGGCCGGGCCTGACACGGGCCGGGCCGCAGGGGGGCAGGGGGCGCCACTCACGTCGCTCTCCACCTCGATGTCATCGTTGTCGCTCATGCTGCCGGGCCTCCGGGCGCTGCGAGCCGAGCCGAGCCGAGCCGGGCGGGGCGCGGGGGGGAGCCGCGGGCAGCGCAACAACAACAGCCCGCACCGCGCAGCCACCTCCCTCCCGCAGCCCCAGCAGCGCCGCCGCCGCCGCCTCCACCACCGTGCGCCGCCCCCGGCCACGTGACCGCCGCCGCCGCGGGGCCTGCTGGGGGGTGGAGTTCGCTGGGGTGCGGGCGGCAGCCGCTGTCCCGCCTCCGCGAACTACAATTCCCAGCGGGCCCCGCGCGGCCCTCTCTTCGGCCCCGGAGCCCCCTGCGGCGGCGGCGGCGCGCTGCACGCCGGGGGCTGTAGTCTCGGGCAAGGAGGAAGGACTCCGCGGAGAAGAAGACACGTGGATAGGAGGCGGAGAGTGTGCGGGACCCCACCCTACTAACAACCCCACGGTGCGGGGCTGTGCCCGGGCTGCTTCCGCACTTGGAACAGA